TTCTGGCTTGGGGGGCGCAATTTTGGTGTCATCCACGTCGCGCAAATCATCGCGTCGGGTGCACGAATCTGGCTGTGGCTTCGGGGGCGCCGACGCGTAGCGCATGGCTCTCGGGAGCACGAGTGTGTACTTTGCGAAAAAAACTCGGGAAGGGCGAGAATCAGGCGTAACTGACGAAGGATTGCTGTCCCGCGAATGCGGAACCGTCGCTCCTGGCAAATCGTTGCGGCCTCTGGGGCGCGACCTGCTGCATTGCGACACGGCCCGAAGCGCCCCCGAGAATTCAGGGCGCGGGATTCGGGGAGGGGAGCCAATTCCTTTTCGCGCCCCCCCCCCCTTTCCCCACGCGGACTTTAATCATAACGCGGGTGGCATTTGTGTTCCATCCTCCTTCGGCGCTGCATCGGCGGGGCGGAACCACCGTGTGCTCGACAGGGCAGCCGTGCCAGAAAATGCAAGTCTCCAGACAAGGCCCAGCAATCATTCAACATTGGGAAAAGGAGGGGGATGATGATGCTGATGACGATGATGATGATTGTAGGGAAGAGGAAGAGGAGGGGGGGAGGAGGGAGGAGGATTCTGACTCTGCGTCTGACTTTGACTGGTGGCGGGGCCTGCGTGCGGGGGCCAAGTCCACAACGAGACAACGACGACGACAACGACAGACGCGACGAGACCACGACGACGGCGGCGGCAAACGGGCAAGCCTCGGGAGGCGGCTGCACCATGCCTACCTGAGAGGGGCGTTATCCTGTGAGACTATGCGGTTTTGCCGCTCATCCTCATACTCGGACGCGCACGGAGAGCCCCAGGACCACTGCTGGGAAAATCGCTCTTGGCCGAGCCCTTGTCCTTGTCCCGGGGGCCCGGACCAACGGCAGCAAGAACAACTGCACGATTCTCCTCGCCCTTGTCGATGCCTTTGCCCTTGCAGCCAGCTTGCCCGGGATCGCGACCAAGCAAGGGATCCTCAGGGGGAGCGCCGTGAATCTTGTCGACCTTCTGCACCTGCCCAGAACTCGTAGTTCTTCGCCGTGGGCAAGTCGCTCATGAGCAGCAGCCGATGCTGGATGATCAGGAGCAAGTCCGGCACCGACGCGGAGCGCCTGGCACAGAGACGCTCCCATGACGGGTTGGCCGGCAGCCCCGACGGGAAACGCCCTGAAGGCCCGGGACACAGTTTGGGCCGCCCTCGCCTGCGCGCGGCCAGCCTGCGCCATGCGTTCTGCCGCCGCGCGCTGCGGGCGCACGGGGCGGCCGTCCTCCGCGCGCCGTGGCGGCGTGGCGCGCGTGCCTCGCTGAGGAAGGAAAGGGCTGGCTGGGGCAGAGGCCGACAGTGGCCTCCTGGGCCTCCTGGCGCTGGCTCGCGGGCGCGAGGAGGAGCTGCGCGGACTCGCGCTCGAAGGGAGGCCGGATCGAGCTGGGCCTGGGGCGTCTCCGAATTCTTTTACTGCGGACCTAACCGCGGGCTTGCTGAACAGCCCTGCCTAGCAGCCCGCACCACTTGTGCAGTACTTCTCCTGATCGTCGGGTGGGCTCCTCTGGCTTTCTTCCTTGCCAAGCGCGGTGCCAACTGGGTGGATTGTCTTTCTGCCTAACACAGACGCAAGCAGTGCAAAACCATTTGAGGTTGGGGCCATACATCCCCAGGCCGAAAGTTTTTTCCTCTTGGACTGAAAATATGAGAACATCAACGGATCCAATTTGATCCCTTTTCGGGTGTGGGAGAGTTTCGTGGATCCTATTTCTGTGTTGCGCGGATCCAATTTCCTGCGTGAAAAAAACGATGGATCCATTTACTTCCCGGGAGTAAATATATAATAATAGCTAACACCTGGGACCCAGGGGAAATGGGATCCGCGGAGCACCGCAAGCGAAACATCATGCTATCCACGGAGCTGTGGATCTGCAGGCCCATGCTATGATTCTACGGGGGAGGGGGGGTCTTCCCAGGATGAAGAGGGGAAGGATAAGGGAAGAGGCAAGAGGAGGTGGGAGGAGAACAGAGGGGATTGGCGCGTCGCTTCCGACATGTGGGGTTTAAGAGGAAAATCTTTCGGCCTGCGGAAGTAGTGTGTCACCGCGAGCCCCATCCTTCGTCGCATACAACCTTGTAGCCGCTCGTTTGTGGAAAAAACATCTGCTGCTGGACGCGCTAGCTATCATTCGGCTGCGAATGGCCCCCTCCTGAATCGATTCCTGATCCGCCCGCTGTCGCCGCATTGGCCCTGTGGTTTGGGAGCGCTCGTCTTCGCAAGAGCTTGTGGTCATTCTGCCTTCCCCGAAGGCTGGATGTCCAACTCTGCCATCCGTGCGCCCTCTCCCTTAGAACGGAGCGATCTTCGTGCTCCAAGGACCGGGCGCCAGCTGCCAGATCGGGCCATGAAGGTCGATCTGTCCACCCGGACCCGTCGCAAACCCCCGTCTGCAACCTCTACTGCTGCGTGCCAAGCCGCGCCCGTTCGGCATGTCGTCAGGCGGTGCGCCTTGCCACGGCCAGTGTTCGGATATTTTTTGGCATGCGCGGGGCGGGACGTACGTCGGCCCAACTGGCTCAGTAAGCCGCCGCCGCTGTTGCGCAAGAGCTTTTGGGCCACAAACCAGCCATTCTCAATAGTAGTTGCGCTGGCGACGCCCATGTGTAGTAGTCCACGCCAAGTGACTGAGTTTGCCGCGCATCTGGCACTGGGGTGTCGAACGAGATCCTACAAATGTCCAACGCTGTTTGGTCGTGTAATGTGGCTAGAGGAGCAAGCATAGCGGGCGGTAGCGCCACGGGGAGGTCAAAAAGTACCCACGCACATTATACAGAAAAGAATTTACATAAGTAATGCATCCCTGTCCGTGACTGAGTTGTAGGTGGCATTGTTGTAATTCTTTGAAAGCCTCGGGCCCCCAACTCACGGAAGCTTCCTGGGTTCCCTCGCTGACTGTCTCCGAAGCCTTCGAATGTCGGTTGAAAACCTGCGCTGTTAACATGCGCCACGATCGCCTCAGGGCGTCGGGCTCTGGGCTGGCTGAAAGAACACACAACTATGTCAAAGAAATCGTGTGGTTGTGCATTTCTCGCCTTTTCAGCCTCAGGACCGTCCTACGGCGGCCCAAGAGGCCCCCATGTTCGCCTCAATATTGCCCCTAACTCCCAAGATAAGAAAAGCTTCTTCCGAACCCTCCACCCACGTTTGCTGTCGAGACCGCGAGCGAGCCCCCAAGACGCTAAGATGCAGCCGTGAGGCACAGAGGAGGCTTCAAGAGGCTCCCACGAGGTCCCTCTATGGGACCACGAAAAAAGCTCCCAACATGCCTCAGATCCATGACCCATGCGCGGTGGCGAAATGTGCCGAACGCCACGATGTACAACGCTCGTTCAAAAGGGGCGCTCGCTTGACATACGGAAACGCGCACACACTATACACATAGCAAGATTAAGTGGCAGGCGCAAGTGACATACACGACATGAGAGGGACGCATCACGTACACACCAAATGCTCAAAAGGCATACGTAGAGGGTATGCGCACAACAATCATGAATAGCAAACTTGAGGGGCATGCGCTGATGATATATTCTGGGCGCGCGCATTGATTCCATGTACAAGACACGTCCACACAATGCATACGCAAACGAGAGAGGCAAACTACGGACAGATATGTTGCAGACACGTGTCATGTGCAACGAACAACAGGAGCTAAATGTCAGGCGCACGAAGCATACGAACACGAATAATGTGCAGATGCAGAAACTATAGACACACAAGAGAGGCTTCAACCAAACACACGCACACACACCTGTAGGGCATAACGCAATCCACACCAACATTGTTATACAAACCTTACTTGTAACAGCCCATGTTGCTCCAAACTTCGATCGCCAGATTCGCACACAAACGCATACGATGACACGGGGTGCACAAAACTACCATATTTACATTCATACCTGTGACATACGACCACTGCGGGGGAAGGCAACCAAGCTTGACAACTCCCAAGCTTCACGCGCAACAAACCACACGGCCCTCTTCCTGTGACGAAGTATGTAAGAACAATTTGCGCAACAGCGCCATGTTCACAGGCAGAACCAAAACTCGGTCAGGAGGGTCCTGCAAAACATGTAACCGAACACGTACCGCATGACCTGAATGTCCGTATATGGTATGACCGATCTCCGGCATTGAAATACCGCCTGGACGGCGCGATCGAACATATGCTACATGTGTTTCGATGTCTGAATCAAGATATTTCGACAACCTCTTAAAAAATAATATTTAAAAACGTGACCGAAGAACTCGTCTTCCTCACCACTGGCCGCGTGCGCGAGGGTCGAACCGCTGCAAGCGAGAGCCGCAAAGGCGGCCACTGGAGCGACGCCTCAGGCGGGAGGCGGAGTCGTATAATCATAATGTTGTATGGGGGTCAGAGTATAATCATAATGTTGTATGGGGGTCAACGTATAATCATAATGTTGTACGAAGTGCTGGCGGGAGCTGGGATGGGATTACGAAGGCTTCTCTGAGGGAGAGTTATTCGCGGAACTCCACCGTTACAGGGGGGGACGAACAATGCGATGCCCGAAGAGGACGACAGAACAAGTGAGATGTTGGGGCCCTGGGAAGTCGTCGCTGCAGCGGTGAGCGTCGAGACGAAAGGCGCAAGGGAGATCGTTGGAAGTCCACGGCTGGGTCATCAGGCCGCGCGCGCCGCAGCACCTGCGTGCCTTCTGTATGGCCCTCCCAGCGTGCGTTCCCCCCTCCTCCTCCTCCTCCCTCCTCCTCCTCCTCCTCCTCCTCCTCCCTCTCCTCCTCCTCCTCCTCCTCCTCCTCCTCCTCCTCCTCCTCCTCCTCCTTCCTCTCCTCCCTCTCCTCCTCCTCCTTCTCCTCCTCCTCCTCCTCCTCCTCCTCCTCCTCCTCCTCCTCCTCCTCCCTCTCCTCTTCCTCTTCCCCCTCCTCCCCTTCCTCCTCCAGCTCTCCTCCTCTTCGTCCTCCTCCTCCTCCCCCTCCAACGCAGCACAGGCAACGCAATGGGGGCGGAGTCAGGCCGCGTGCAACTGGTGGAGCTGAGCGGGCCAGACGAGCACGGTGCTGACACGCGCCCTGAGGACCATCGCGCTTTTTCGGCGGCGCGCAGAAGGGGGTGGAGGGAGGGGGGAAGGCCTCTTAGAAGGAGGCTGCTTCTTAGAAGGCGGCGGCCTTACATCTGTACATAAGGACCGCGCCTTCTAAGAAGCAGGGGTGCTTCTAAGAAGCCTCCCCCCCTCCCCCTACCCCCCACTGCGCGTGGCCGACTTTTTGGGCCGCCTCACCAGACCGCACCGATCACGCTGTGCCAGACACGCTCAGCGGCACCCAGGGCGGCGGAGCCCAGCCGCCGGAGGCGTCCGGAGAGGCTCCTGGCCCTGGCCTGCGCCTCGGCGTCGCGCCGCCGCCTCTGCTGCTCGACCCGGCGCCGCACGCTCCGCACGAGGTCCCGGAGCTCTGGCTCCGAGCGCCGCGGGCGTACCGAGCCGCTGGCGCGGGCCGGCACCATGGTGCCACCGCCGGCCACGTCTTCGCGAGCTTGTCCGTCGCTGCTCCCAGCTTCGGCGGCGGCGTCCCCGTCCTCGATGGCCTTCAGGGACTCCCACTCGTCGAGGAGGCTGGAGTCTACCGAAGCCACCGCGGCCCGGAGGAGACTCTGCACCCGACGGATGCCGGGTGTCTTGACAGCCTCTGGCACGCTGCAGCGCATCGTGCGGTACACGTCCGAGAGGTATCGCAGGATGGCGCCCTCGCTGGTCACGGCCGTGTCGCTGCGCGCGTGATCCCCGAGGCGCTGCACGAGGCCCGTGAAGTCCAAGCCCCTCGACACCATCTCTCTGGCCAGGCCCTTCGGCTGCAACGCGCCCTCGGGCACCCACGGGTGAGTGGTCCTGAAGGCCACGAACTCGCGGCACAGCACGGCAGCCACCTCAGGGGGGCACGCGAAAGCCTCGGCGTCCGGGGTCTGCCCGTCCTCCCGCCGTGGGGCTTCGCCGCGTGGTGGCGTCGGTCCCGATGGGCCCCTGGTGCGCAACATGCGACCCAGCGACTCTGGCACCTGGCACATGGCCTCGACGGCCGCCAGCGCCGCAAGCGCGGCGTGCTTCCCCAGTTCGGCCTCGAGCCGTGGCAGTGCGCGGGCGAAGAACACCGAGGCGTCGTCCGTAGGCGCTGGGGCCTGCTGCAGCAGGAGCGGTGCCGTCACTGGCTGCGCCTCGCCTTCGTTGGATCCAGGAGACCTCTCGGCAGCACCGCTGCCTGCAGCGGCTATCCTGCTGGGCGTAGTCGCAAAGCTGCTGCCCTGGCCGAAGAGCTCAGAAAATGTAGCCACCTGTCGGTGCCAGTAGCGCCGCTCGCCGTGCCCGCACTGCGCACGGTCCACGAGCTGACGCAGCTCTGCAGGTCCGTCCGTCCCCCGCTCCTCGGCGCCCTGCAGCACGCTCAGGACCTGCGCCATGGACAGCCGAAAGGAGGACCGCAGCGCGCCTGGACTGCTGCGCTGGAGCCTGTCGAACGTGGACCGCGTCCAGTGCCTGTAGTTCTGGCGAGGCGGCCGCCTCCATTGCGGCAGCACCCGCTCGCCCCGCGCGATGCGCTCGCGAAGCTCCCTGTTATACACCTCCCACTCTGGAGCCACGGCTGCGACCTCGCCGCGGTCGTCGAAGCCCCTGCGGCCAGCCCGGCCGGCGATCTGGTGGAAGCTGCGGGCGTCCAGGATGTCGGTCTCCTCCCCGGTGAACTTGCAGAGCCTTTAGAGTAACAAGCGGCATCAACCCAGGACCCTTCGAGTCATGAAAACATCAGGACGGGAAGTTTTTCGCTATTTTCAGCCCCTGGGGGCCCTCTCCGGGCCTCGGGACCGTAAAAAAACAGACTCGGGATGAAAAACTGGTCCTGGGGAATAGGTTCAGACCTCGGGGGGTCGACGTAATGAACACATCATGACGTAAGGGGGCCTGGGAACACAAACTGTCGGGGATCCGCGCCGATTTCTTGCATGGAGTCCAGCGCCGATCCAAGAAATCCGCGCGGAGCCCCGAAGATCCATATGCTTATGCCGCTTCTTTCCAGGTGCAGTCGGGGCGTTGACCTAAGGAACCCTAAATAAGGAACGGGGCCCCTTTCTCCCATAAATTGAACTTCGTTTTCCCATGGAACACCTCAGGAAAAGAAAAGGCAAACCGCAAAACAATCAAGGAACACCGAGCCCCTCCCCAACGAGAAGGGTTCCTTCTTCAGGGCCCCGGCTGTAGAGCCTCGTGAAGAGAACGCTGCGGATCGGCACGTTCACGCCCACTCCGAGGGTGTCCGTCCCGCACACGAAGACCAGGAGGGACGCCTGGGCCAGCTGCTCCACCAGCCGCCTGTACCGCGGCAGAACCCCGGCGTGGTGCACGCCCACGCCCCGGAGCAGCAGCTGCCGCAGGCAGGCGCCGAAGGGCGACGAGAAGTCGACCGCGTCCTGCAGGCACGCGCATCTGCGCACCCTGCCCCTGCAGGTCTATGATGCTCCAACCTACTTCAGCCTTGACCACCAGGAGGAATTTCGAGCGTCCCAACAAGTACCGAAACTCGAGGGGGTTTCACGTGTCGGGTCCTGGGAGACACTCGCCCGACACTGTCTCGACACTGTTTCGACACTCTTTTGACACTTTTCTGGGTGCTCGAAATTATTTCTGGGATGTGGTCCTTAAGTAGGATGGGAACAACATAACTGAGGGTCAGAGTTTTCTGCAACGGCGGCCAGGGTTCCAAATTCGGAGGTCGTCTCCAGCCAAGCGAACCCCGGCGGGGGTGTCCGAGAGCCCAGCGCTGAGTGGACCCGTAGGGGTAGGGTTCGTAGGTGGCCGCGGACCCTGTGGGCTCGGGATCGAAGAGGGGAGAACCCTGGGTCACAAAACTTCGCGCACCGCGCCCACCGATGTGCCGCGCGCGGTGGTCTTGGCGCCCTTGTGCCACCACCACCCTGAGAAAGGGCAGCTCTACGGCCAAGAACGCGGCGCGCGCAGCGCCATCATCTTTGCGCCTCTGGGGGTGACCTAGGAAGCGGGGGAAGAGAAGGGTGTGGCTGCAGGAGAGAAGGGAAGACCCTGGCGGGAGGGGAGGCTGAGAAGGGACTGGGATGATGAGGATGAGGACGAGGACGAGGAGGAGGAGGAGGAGGAGGAGGAGGAAGAGGATGGACTGGAGGAGGAAGAGGAGGATGGACTGGAGGAGGAGGAGGAGGAGGAGGAGGAGGAGGAGGAGGAGGAGGAGGAGGAGGAGGAGGAGGAGGAGGAGGAGGAGGAGAGCGGCGCGGCCCACCCCGGGTCCCAGACTTTCCCGAGACGAGGGAGGAGGCGGGAAAAGAGGCGAGGGGCAAGTGGAGGAGGACGGGGAGAGAGAGGTTCCGACGATGAGGCCGTGGGACAAGACCGCGCACTGCGAGAGGAGATGGTCACCGGTCTTCCAGGGACGCCGTGACCTCCAGAGAGAACCCCTCACGAGGCCCAGAGGGCCCGAGGGGCTCCAAGCTCACACGTGGTGCTGGGAATATCTTTGGTCCAAGACCACCTCTGGCAACCTCCGACAACGTGGCAATATAACTAGATCTGGACCGGAACTGGACAAAAGGCCCGCAATGCCGCGAGACTGGGGAGACTTTGATCTCTTCCGGGGGCCCCTCCTCTCTTTGTCCTCTTCCTTCGCTCCTCCTGCCCCATTCCCTTCTCCCCACTCCCTTCTTTCTCCTCCCTTAGCCCTTCTTCCCCCTCCTCATTCCTCCCTCATCTCTTTCCCCTCTTTGCTCCAAGCCTCCAACCCTAGCCCTGGATAGCCTATCACATACCCTGTACCAGTACCACAGCCCTTACATCATAAGTGGCGCCGGAGATCCTCGTATACAACACCGAATGGCTCCAACATGCCTCTGGCCGAAAACACGTCATCCACGGACATATTTGCCAGCGTGTACCCCTACCAGTAAGTACTTGCACTGTGGCTGTGTTGTATGTGTGATGCAAGCTACGTGATGTTAGCTATGTGTTTCGACATATGTTGTGCAGACTATTTGGTGTAAGCGATGTCGTGTTGGTGGAAGATTTTTTTCTGAACACCTCGCAGAACCGAACAGGTCTTGATTACCAAATAAGCTCCGCGAGCAGATGTATAAACGGCCGCTCACGCACTCACAAGCACCTGATGCACGGGACGAACAACCTGATCACATGAAATACTCTGCATACCATGTCTTCCATGGTGGCGGCATCCAGGCAGAGACATCTGAGTCACTGCGCGAACACGCTCAACATGAGCGCTGTGCGAATTCGTGAATATCTGGGACATCTGCCACAGTAATATCTCAAGAGGAGGAGAGGGGGGGGGCGAGATTTAGTTCACAATTTAAGCATGACTCTTTAAAAATCGCCAACTACGGGAGGCGGGAGTCACGGCTTGATGATGATTCCAAACCAGTGGTTGTGCTCAGAAGTTCTTACTTGTGCCTCTAATGGAACACACCCACGATGCAACAACTCTCTGTTTTGGGTCAATGGTGGCGCGTTGACTTCACGTTGATAAACCCGCCACCGCTGTGCATCTCAAGTCCATTCAAATCTCTCAGAAAGTGGCAGGCTTGTGCAGCGGCAAGCGTTACTGACTGGCAACTCAGCGCTGTAAGCATTGAATCCCCCTGTCGTTACTGTCAGGGTGGTAAAAATGCGTCCACAACATCGGGTTGCCCCGGTACCACCAAACATTTGCATTCAAACGCGCCCTTTCAGACAAAGGAGATCGGACCTGCCAAGACATAAGAACCGAACACTCAAGACAATATGGAGTCGTTGACGAAGTTCAGTACTTCTAGAAATTACTGCAGAACGAAAACAGTCAGAGAACCCAAGTGCGGGTAAACTCGGACGGAACAGATGTACGGGAGCTAGCTGTCCTGCTCGTCTGATTCCGTCACGCTGCTCATGCGGGCTTCAGCCGCTGCAGGCAGCACACTCGCATGACTGTGAACACATGCCGTGGCTACCAACACGTGGCAAAAAACGCGTTCTTGAACCCCTGGCGGACGTTGCGAGGGGCAAGAACGAAGCGGCTCCAGGCGCGTGGTGGCCAAGTGCAGGGCGCCCGACGAGCAGGTCAGTCGCGCCTTGTCCATGCTGGAACACAGGTGTACGCTGTGACACCGAATTCGCACGCCTGTGGATCAGCCGAGAGGCGACTCATTGCGAGTCGTTGGCGCTCCCCTCGTGGCTCCTGGCGCGGAGGGCCGCAAGCTTCGCCTTCTTGCGCGCCCTCAGTTCGCCCTCCGGGCACATGTGGCAGTGGCAGCACGCCGCGCCGTGGACGCACCCCCCCGGCTTCCAGAACCACCCACAGGGCCTGCAGCGCCCGGTGCCGTGTAGCTCGGACCCCGCGGAGGCCCGCGGCAGCTGCGCCGGGTGCGGCGGCTCCTCCGGCAGCCGCACGGCGCCCTCCGGCGACGTCGGCGCCGTGGCCGCCGCGCTCTCCTCGTCGGTCGTGCTAGCGCAGGACCAGGAAGCGGAGCCCTGCCGCGGGAAGGCCGTCACGGCCGTGCCGACGCACCAGGTCTTGCAGGCGGTCATGGCCGGGCAGTCGCCCTGCTCCTCGTCGTCGAGGAAGCCATCGATGAAGGTGTTCTTCACCTTCACGGGCTGCTGGAGCTGACTGCGGTCCCTGATGCCGAACAGCGGGAGCCCAGATCCCTGATCCACCGCATTGCTGTGCTGAGTCTGGCTCTGGAGCAGCGGCCGGCGCATCGCGTCGCTCGGCTGGGCGTAAGCCTCGAGGCTCGGCGGCCCAGAGGTCGGGGTGGGCGTGGGAGGCCACAGCGAGCTGGGCGTGCAGGCGCTGTGCGGCGCCGTCTCCATGTTGGCGAAGGGGCTCAGCGGCAGGCCCGGCATTGCGGCTCCGCGCCTGAAGCTTGGTGATGCGGGCGAAAGGAGGCTACAAAGGCGCTGCCTCAAGCCAATCTTGAGCCAAAGTGGCTGCGGAGTGGTGCAGGCTGTAGACTGCAGGCTCTGCGGTGCAGGCTGTGCGGTGCAGGCTGCGTGGCGCACGCTGTGTGGCGGCCAACTGTGTGGTGCAAGCCATGTGGCATTATCTCCGTGATGCAAGCGCTGCGGGGAACCTTCCCTGTGTGGTGCACTCGGCCACCCACGCGGCGAACACGGAGGAGGTGGAGGAGGAGGAGAGATGGAGGAGGAGGAGGAGGAGGAGGAGGAGGAGGAGGAGGAGGAGGAGGAGGAGGAGGAGGAGGAGGCGGAGGAGGAGGAGGAGGAGGAGGAGGAGGAGGAGAGATGGAGGAGGAGGAGGGAGGAGGAGGAGGAGGAGGAGAGGAGGAGGAGGAGGAGGAGGAGGAGAGATGGAGGAGGAGGAGGAGGAGGAGGAGGAGGAGGAGGAGGAGGAGGAGGAGGAGGAGGAGGAGGAGAATGAGGAGCGCCCACGAGCGGCCATCCGGCGAACCCTCGGCCGACCCGCCAAGCGCACGAGGCGCCAACGAGGCGCCATCGGGGCGACCACACGGGCGCCACAGGCGGGCGCCGTGCGGAGCCCAGGCGGGCCCGCACCAGCGCACGGCGCGTCCACGGGGCGCCACAGGCCGTGGGCATGCAGGAGGCAGGAGGAGGAGGAGGAGGAGGAGGAGGAGGAGGAGGAGGAGGAGGAGGAGGAGGATGAGGAGGAGGAGGAGGAGGAGGAGGAGGAGGAGGAGGAGGAGGAGGAGGAGGAGGAGGAGGAGGAGGAGGAGGAGGATGGGGAGGAGGAGGAGCAGGAGGGAACCCTCGGCTTGGCAGCGTCGACCTCCCAATCAGCCTCCACGGTGGGCGAAACCTCGGCTGACTCACCAGGCGCACGGCGCGCCCCGCGACGCGCCCCGCGAGGCGCCCCGCGAGGCGCCCGCGAGGCGCCCAGCAGCCAGGCACCGGGCGAAACCTCGGCCGACCCATCCAATTCCTAAGGCAGGGAGCAGTGCACCCCCTAAGTGCAAGCAGTGCCTGGGGAACTCGAGGGACGGGGGGAGCAGGGGGGGGAACGCTGAGAGATGGGGGTTGGCGTTCGACTCCCCGAACATGGCTCTGCGCCACCTCTCTCCTCCGAGCATCTCCTTTCTCCGTCCTCGCTGCGAGGGTGAGGCAGAGGATGGGCAGGGCGAGGAGGGCGAGGACGGGAACGCTGTTATCTTTTTTAAAAAGGGGGGAAGGCAGCGAGGAGGAGCGAAGCGGAGACCTCGGCAGCAGTTCGAGTGACGACGATAGCCTGCGTGTGTGTGTGTGTGTGTGTGTGTGTGTGTGTGTGTGTGTGTGTGTGTGTGTGTGTGTGCGCTCTAGATGGCGACACCTGCCAATGCAATCAGTTGCTGATGGAGGACGAAGAAAAAGGCGCAAACAGCAAGACTCAGACGTGGGAACACGTGGATGCCGCGCGGAGGACACACATCGAGGGGCCGAGCACTGCAAAAACATGCGATCACGTAATCATGTATCCAACTCTCGCCTCGGCTGGCCGCGTCGTGCGCATCCGGCTCCCCCCGGCAGTACTCGGAGTAGCAATGCTGCTGATCGTGATGCAAGGCATCGCACAACCATGAGCAACGCTGAATCAGGAGCGAAGGGGCTCCTCTGGCCACAGCGAGCCTCGGCCACGAGTAGGCTTCCCGACCTAGACCCTAGGAACAGCCTGGAAGCCAGAGCACCTCCTGAGCCCAGAGCGGTCTCAGGAGGGGGTCGCGCGGAGGGGGGCGGCGCAAAGCGAAAGCTCATCGGTCCTTATAAACAGCATCTGTTCGTGTTTGGAGCACGCGTGCTTTCTGTGATACACTACGAGCCCGACCATACTCAATTTGCGGATTCAATTTGCGGATTCCTCAAAACTGTGTAAGCCCCTTGCCCTCCACGGCCCGTCTTATATGATTGCCCCACAACGGAGGGGCAGTGGATTCCAGGAGCCCAACGTGGTCTTTAGTTCAGCGTCTTGACTGCAGCAGAGGTCGGATGCTGATCAAAGAAACATGGCACACACATGAACATTTGGAGCTCCGCGCTGATTTCTTGGATCGGCGCTGGACCCCCCCTCCGTGGCGCGCGGAGCGCGTCAGGGGTGGCGCATGAGGCGTCGTCAGGGGGGCTCAGCGCCGATCGAAGAAACCTGAACGGAGCTCCAAACGTTTCTGTTTGCGCCTGTTCTTCCTCTTCAGGTTGAGGAGGGCTTGCCATTGCTCGGACGCCCATTCCCCGTGGACTTTTCGGTTTCGTGCGTGCTTTTCTGGGCCAGAGGATCCAAGCTGCTCCTCGTCGGTCCCCGCCGGTAAACATGCACACGCCCGAGCGACACCAAGAGGAGCAGGCGGGCCAGGGTGACCCCTCCCGAGATGCTTGGGCGCCACCGTCCACGGCGGCGCGCAGCGCTGCCAGCTGCGCCCCTGGGAGCTCCAACGCGGGGTCGTTGGCGAGCTGCTGGGCGGTGGAGAGCGCCTAGTGCCAGGCGGCCGATGCAGAACGACGGTGTCTATCCATACATACATACGGACAGACAGACATGTACATTCACCTATGCATCCATTCATCCATGCATGCATGCAAGCACTCGTACATACAAACGTACCAACACATACATACATCCATGTATCCAAACACACATACATGCATGCATGCAGACAGACAGGCAGACAGACAGGCAGACAGGCATATCTACAAACATCTACATGTTTGTTTCTATATGCGTATACACATCTGCATCTGCACATCCACTGCTCCTGACCAGATCGGAACGAGCGTGTCGACCATCTTGCCACATGCGTGTCAGGCGCTGCCTGCTGCAGTCCTGTCGATGCGTGTCCCTGGGCAGAGCCTCCTGGGCGATCTGGGCTTGCTCGTGGGCAGCTGGCCCAGCTGCTACTTGGCCCTCGTACTCCTCGTTCCACGCATCCGCTGCCCCTCGCCAGACGACTCCCTCGGGGGTGGCTGAAGATGTCCCTGGCAGGAGGAGGAGGAGGAGGAGGAGGAGGAGGAGGATCTGACGCTACGAGCTCTGACGAGCTCGACTGCAGGATGAGGAGGAGGAGGAGGAGGAGGACGAGGAGGAAGAGGAGGCACTCTGGCCCTCGTGATGGGGTTCTCTGGAGGCCGTGGCGGCGTCCTTGGACATCCTGGGGACGCCTCGATCCAGGCACACCTCTGGCAGTACTCGAATTCTGGGCCCAGGAGCGGTGTCTACGCCTGGTGCTGGGCAGGCGCTGCAGAGCGAAGAGGTCTATGCGTATCCAATGGCTTTCGCTGCACCCTACCGTTCCAGAAAAGGACGAGCTGTGCATGGTTATACTTGGGTTGCTACCTGAGGCTTTCGCGTTCGACCCTACAGACCTCCTCGGCCCCAGGCCCCCCATGCATTTTGCCAATTCTTATCGCATTAGCGCGAACCCATCCCAGACCCCCAACGTCATGATTTGTTCATGACGTCGACCCCCAGTGGTTTCGACCTATTCTCCGGGAGTGTTTTTTCATTCAGAGTCGTTTTTTGACGGTCCTGAAGCATGGTAAGGGCCCCCACAGGCCGAAAATGGCGAAGAACCTCCCGTGGTGATTTTTTCATTGCTCGAGGGGGTCTGGAATTGGGGCAAGGGGGGAGTACACCCACTCCCGTGAGCAAACAGAGCCGACCAACGATCACTCACTGATGTCCGGGACCTCGGCGTTGCGCCGCCGCTTGCCGACACGAGGACCTGGACCTGGAGGGCGTGCGCAATTACAAGGCGCCGCTCCTGGGCCCAGGATGGGCCTGGCTCAGGGGCAGTGGATAGGTTCAGGTCGGGCACGTTTAAAACAACTATATAACTTTATTTATTTTTTGTTCTAAAACATGTAAACACAAACAATAGAAAAAATGCCCAAACATAGTCAACTACTGCGCAAACAATCGTCTCTATTTTTTGGGGGGCTGTTTTTGAATAGCCCTCCTGCAGAAAGACCTGCCCGACTCCAGGGCAGGTCTCGTCGCCGTGCAGCTCTGGAAGACGAACAATAATAAGAAGAAGAAGAGAGAATAACAATGATAATAAGAGAGAATAATAATAAGACGAAGAAGAATAAGCAGAAGAAAAAGAAGAACTCGCCATCGCTCGGACGTCCATTCCCTGTGTTTGTTTCGGTTTCGTACGTGGTTTTTTCGCCACATGATCAAGGATGCTCCTCGATGGTCCTCGCCGAAAGAAAAATGCATACGCGTCCGAGCGATGCCAAGAGAAGAAGACGAAGAAGAAGAAGAAAAACCCACGTGAACATGAGCTCTTGGCGCTCTGCGCGGGTTTCTCGGATTCGCGCTGGACCCCCCTCCCTGGCGCGCGGAGCGGCGCCGGAGGCGCCGCCGGGGGGCCCAGGCGCGGATCCAAGAAATCCGCGCGGAGCGCCCAAAAGTTTATCCTCATGTGTTTTTTGTCTTCTTCGAATTTTGGCGGCTTCGTGCGTGCTTTGTTGAAGGGGCCCTGGGACACACAAATCAGTACACACACAAATGACCGAATTCCCTATATTTTCCTATATTTTCTTGGTTTTTGTCTCCCCCCCCAATTCCCATATTTTCCGATACTTTCGGGGGAACCGACGATTGATTGTGTCTCTGTGTTCATTCCCCTCCTGATCGATGGTCCTCGCCGAGGAGAGCTGCACACGTCCAAGCGACGGGGCCTGGGACCCGTCTCCCTCACAACGGAGGCCTCCCCTATGGGATCCGCGTCAATGGGGTCGTAGGATCGCGCCGCATCGCCAGCGCATCGCCGATGTATCGGCGATGCATCGGCGATGCATCGGCGACGCATCGGCGATGCATCGGGGCGGCGTTAGCGTGGGAAAACACGGGCTCCACATCGAGCCGAATCGTCGACGCATCGGCGATGCGGCGCGATTCTCCGACCCCACCTGCTCAGGCTCAAGACCCCCTTCCTGCATGGCGAGCCCTGCTTGTCCTAATCCTCCCGCCGGCCCTTCCTCGCAGACCCACCCGACTCCCCGTGGTTCGCCAGGCTCCCATGCTAAGCTGCAATAGTTTCGCACGTCGCGCGGCCGCGCAGGAATAGCGAGGCGGGTCAAATACAGCAGGGGCCTCAAATCGGAGAGAGGCCTGCCGGTAGGTATCCCACGAACGTTTCTTATCCCCCGATGACCCAGGGGGGCCCACAGAAGCCCTGGGGCAGATTTCCGGATCATCAGAGCTCGACGAAGCGTGCGACCTACGACTTCTCACAGCAAGGCCTCTGATCGTGTGCGTCTACTGTTGTGGGGAGAGCGCCGTGCTCGGAAGCCGGGCCTCGCGGTGCGAGAAGTGCACCACGTAGGCCGGGCACTTCCCCTCGCGCTTCAGCTCCCGGAGCCTGCCACGGGCCGCGCTGGCAGGGGACGAGGCCTGGGCTGGAGGAGGAGGCGAGCACGCGCTCTCGGAGCATGGGCTCGACGAGTCGTGCGCGCCGCCAACTTTTCCGCCTCGCTCGTCTCTGAGGTGCTTGCCTCCCGCCTCTTCCGGGCCCTCGTGGCTCGGGCGTGCAGACCACACACACACACCGTGCAGGCGCTGGGGAGGGCGCCCCGTCGCCCCGATCTCGTGCGAGCGGCCCCTCGAGGAGTGGAGGGGAGGGGGCGGACGGTGCGCGATAGCACGAGAGGAGCATGGCGTCTGCTGAGGACGAGGACTATGTTGCTCCCCTCCTCCTCCTCCTCCTCCTCCTCCTCCTCCTCCTCCTCCTCCTCCTCCTCCTCCCTTCCTCCTCCTCTTCCTCCTCCTCTTCCCTCCTCCCTCCTCCTCCTCCTCCCTCCTCCTCCTCCTCCTCCTCCTCCTCCTCCCTCCTCCTCCCTCCTCCTCCCTCCTCCTCCCTCCTCCTCCGAAAAGCCGAATACGGCGAAAAACCTCCATCATGATTTTTTCCTTGCTCGATGGGGGTCTGGAAACATGTGAAGCCCTCGCGGGGCCGCAGCCGTCCTGGAGGCCGTGGCGGGGGGCAGCTCGGCGTGCGTCGGAGGAGGGGCACCCGAGACAACGGCGGCTCCTTCGCCCGGGCCCCGGTCCGTTCAGGAGCGGTCCCCAGACTTCGGTTGCTTCGGCGGTGGACAAACCTCCCCCTTAGTGAACTTCCCCTTAGTGAGAACGGCCTGGGACCGAACCCGACGGACCTGGACCCGCAAAAGTGACGGCCGCGGCGCCCTCTCGCGAACCGAAGACGGCCAATTCCTTGATCGACGCGTCAGGGTAGGAGGTCTGTCCACCTCCGATTGCTCCTATCGTACTTAAGGACCGCATCCCAAAAATAATTTCGAGCACCCAGAAAAGTATCGAAAGAGTGTCGAAACAGTGTCGGACGAGTGTCTTCCAGGGCCCGATACGTGAAATCCCTTACGTTTTTTTTTGGGGGGGGGATTTAGCTCGAAATTCTTTCTGGTGGTCAAGACTAAAGTAGGTTGGAACATCATAACCCCAGACCCCTCCTGGGGTCCATCCCGACCAGTTTTTTTCGAAGCGCATCGAGCCATGGCGACGACAGGCGTCGATGAGGGCGTCCGACAAATATGAAGGGGCCTTGGGACACACACGTATACATAGGCACAAATAGCCGGATTCCCCATGTTTCCCCATCTTTACTGGGCTTTTGTACTCCCCCACCACTTCCCATATTTTCCCATACTTTCCCGGGAATCGACGATTCCTTGTGCCCGTGTGTGTTTTTCCCCTCCGTCGCCAAAGGGTTCCTGTACAAGGCCTTCCTTTGCAAGCACGTCGTTTTCGGCACCGCCTGATCCCGAGGCTTTGCCTCCTCCTGGCCTCGCCGTGAGGCCGCGCTCCTCCTGTCCCCCCCTCTTTGTTGATTCAAACTTCGCGCGGCCCGCTTAGCTTCGACCGGAAGAGGTGCGCTCTCGACCCGCGGATCAAAAAAAAGTGTTTTTGTTCCCCCTCCTGGAAGTACGAAAACCGCTGGGGAGGGCCGCCGTTGCCTCCACCGACCGCCCGCGACCGTGGCCGCCTGCGCCTGCGGGAGCTCCCGCTCCCCAGGCGGCCCGCTCCTCTCGCCGACCCTCCTCGCGCGGGCCCTCCACGGAAGAGCCGCCGCCGTGCAGACGATGGGAGACGACGGAAATGAAGGGGCCCCAGGACACACAAATGAATACACACAAGTAAAATGATTCCCCATATTTTCCTATATTTTCTGGGGTTTTGTCTTCCCCCCACTTCCCATATTTTCCTGGGAGTGGACGATTAATTGTGTCTGTGTGTTTTTTCCCCTCCTGAGGAAAGGCCAACGCCCCGAGTCAGAGCCGTGCCCGGAACGAGGAGCAAACGCGAGGGGACAGGGGGGGGGGGACCGGCTTAGGAGGGGTGACCATGACCCCCGGAATCGGCGATGCGTCGCCCATGAATCAGCGATGTGCCCCCCGATGGCGAAACTGAGAAGGCAAACAAAAGCTCCCCCCCACCCCCAGCCCCGACCCCTTGAATCGCCGGCTCGGGGATGGGCGTCGGGACTGGGGCCAGGTCGGGCACGTCCTCCCACAGGCGGAACTCTGGACGAAACATGAAAGATACCCCAAAGATGCTCAAACAGAGTGAAAAATAGCAGACGGCCCATTTGTGAATATTCCCCCTGGAGAAGGACGGGCCCGACTTACGAGCTGGGGGTGGGGCTGAGTGCCCGCCTGCCGAGAACCCGCGCGCTCCACGGGCGGGGTGGGGGGTCGCAGGCGTTAGGCGGCGACGACCGGACGTCTGGGCCGGCCCCCCGCTGCTGCTCCCCTGGCGGCAGGACGCGAGCAGCTCCGACACGAACAGTCCTGCTCGGTCGGGCCTGTCCCCCTACAGGGGGCTTCTGGACGACAGATGAAAGATAGTCGAACGTCGAACAAATTCTCCCCCAAGATGGTCAGGCATGCTCAAAACATCGCCCCCGACCATTTCTGGGCTGTTCCTGAAGATTCCCCCTGTGGAGGGACAGGCCCGACTGAACAGCAGTGACTCCTGGCCCGAGCTCTGCGCGTGGCTCCTGAGCGCCCACCTCCGCAACGCCCCGCTGCCATGCGCCTCGCGTGGGTGAACGGGGCCCAGGGACACACAAATAGATAAACACAATTCTCACCATACATCCTCCCGTCCTTCCCGTACCTCATCCCCCTCCCCTTCCTTCCTTCCTACCTCCCCACTTTTCTGGGACTCTCATTGGCAAAATGCTCTGCTGTTTGTGTTGGTGGCTGGGGGGCACGCGGCCGTGTCCAGGCCTCACCCCCACGCCGCCGCCTGAGCCGGCTCCCTGCGCCACATCGCGGGCAGGACGGGCTCGACAATCTCCCAGTTCTGGCCGTAACGGTCGCTGAGGTCACCTCTGGAAGCCTTGTCTACTGGATTGTCCGGCGATGATACGCGTTCCCACCAAGGATATAGACGCCGGGCCCGGCATGCCTCCCAAGTAGCGTACACGATCTCGTTGGTGTGGATGGCTTTGGCGGACCCTTTGATCAGAGAAAACTTGGCACTCTCATTATCGATGAAATGGATCCACACGCACTCCGTCAACAATGTAGGCCATGTTTCAAGGGCTAGTAGGGGCCCGACTGCTTCGATCTCCTGGATTACGTTGCCGCGCCGGCCGTCCTCCGACCACCGGCGAAGCCACTCCTGCGGGACGTCGGCTGCGGTCAATCTTGGCCGAAATCCTGGGTCGCTGGGCTTCCATATGCCTACCGCGACGCGCCCCGTGCCTTCCCCGTCGCTGACGGTGATCAGGAGGGGCCACTTGTCCAAGTCAAAGGGAACCTCGCGCCCCGACTGCTCTGACACAGCGGTCCAGAACCAGGACAAGGAAGCTCGCAAAGAAGACGGTAAACCACGTCGCTCCTTGTCGTCGAACTGTCTGCGCCGCAGCGGGACCAGGACAGCGGCTCCCTGCCGGCCGAACAAGAAAGATCGCGCCCAGCCTAGTCTCCCGCGCAGAGAGCCCGCCTCTGCCGCGCTCAAGCGACCCCGGCGCAGGTAGCCCTCCAGGTCCTCCAACAACGCCTCCACTCTGTCCCGAGGCAGCCGGGCCACGGGCCGCGGGCAGCCGACGTGGAGCTCTGCCCCTAACAACCTCCAGATGCTGGACGGGAACGGCGATTTGGGGAAGTCGAGGCGCCACCCGATTTCCTGGTTGAGCCACACCCAGCAGAACCACGCACATTCTGCTGTTGACCCACGCTCCACTGCCCAAGCGTCGTCGCTATAATGATGCATGGGGACGTCGAAGAAATGGCGCATCACCGAACACATCGCCGAAGGGTCTCGGACATAATTGAATTGGGTTCCAGCGCCCCCGAACACCTGTCCGAGGTTTCTCAGGAGAACGGGTTCTCCGCGGCCTGGGTGCCACACGGCGGACCACATGTGCGGTATCTGCGAAGGGGACAATGGGCTCTGCCAGAATGCCCCGCTGTAGTCCGATGAAAACCCCGCCAGTGGCTCGTCGGCGCCCCAAAGCTCCTTGCAGAACCTGACGGCCGCCCGCGCCGTGTCTAAGTCGTCGGGGGCGTACGACTCGTAGGTGTGCACTGTCCCGTTGGCCCCGCTCGCCTTCAGATTCTCAATGTTACGCGCCTTCCACTGGCCCTGTGAGCCCCGCTCCCACACTGGGAAACTTGGGTGCACTGCGATGGCTGACAAATCCACGTCGCTGACACGGAATGGGCCCTGCACAACACCAGTCGCGATCTCAGCTTCCCGCTTCTCCCATGCCTTTTTGTCGAGCAGTGCATCTCCTGAGGATTTGACTACAGCAACAATACTGGCATTTCGATCTGGGGCCTCCCTGATTCAGTCGCCCAGATTCACTCGAGCAGGTTTCTCCGCCACTCGCCATATACCTGCACCGTGCACGGGGGGGGGGGGCGCGGCTCTTCTGTGTTGTTACAGCGGGCAACGAGGGCAGCCCCCACTTTGCTTGCCCGACCCCAGGCACGGGGACCGTGGACGCCCCGGAAGACAGGGAGGAAGAGGATTGGAAATCGTGTTTCGACTTTGCGACAAGACCCCGCCTCCAACCTCGCTATCGGCCATGGGACTGTCAGGTTGCTGGCCTTACCGCCAGCAGCCAGGCCCCTTTTGCGGATGCCCCCGCTGCCCGCCCAGACGGAACGCTTTACCGCGTTTCCAGACGACCGCCCCCCCGCGCACGCACCTGCAGTCTCAATCTGCCCCAGGGCCGGCCGGCCCGCGGACAGCGACTTGAAATACTCTGCATCGGGGTGGTTCGACATGGCCACAAGCTTCTGGAGTAACGGCCCATGCAAGTGGCCGATGACACTCTTCACGTCCGGATGCAGCGACTCTGCCCAGGCGTGCCTCTGATCTTGGAGCTCTTTC